CAACTATTAAACTAAACTTTATAATTTTTTTTTTATTTTAATTCTATAGCTATATAGAATTAAAATAAAAAAAATTTCATCAAGTTTGGTTTAATTGTTGTTGAAATATTTTAATTTAAAGTTGGAAAAAAATTTATTTAGAAAAAAATTTGCCTAGTTTCTATTGACACCCCCCCATATATATAAATATATATGTGTATATTACACCTCTTGTTTAACTTAAATTGTTTATATATAACATAATCCCTGTTGAATATTATTCTAAAAAAAAAAATTCATTTATTCGAGTTTAATGCAGAACATTTATTATCTCTGTTTTTCAATAGACTAATCAATTTCATCATATATATAGTCAGACCTTTCTAAATGCATTGTAGTAGGACCATATACAAAAGTTAAATCAAATATGCATTTAGAGAGGTAATGCATTTAGGAAGGTAAAAATTTATATATTATATTAGTTGGACCCAAGTGATTTGTATATATAAAGTCCTTTATTAATTTATTAATGTAAAAGGTATGATTACTTTTTAATTACTTGAAACATTGAGGTAATATATATTATCATTATAATAATAATATAATTTTCCTTAATAAATAAATCACTATCAAAATATGGTCTATAATTACTATTATGAAAAAATGTGTCCTTTGATACATTAGTATAATCACTTAATACAACCACTATTTGAATACTTATATTGAATGTTTATATTATTCACACATATCCAAATCAATCAGATTGTAACCACTAATTTGACTTGAATTTTGGACTTTGCAATGACAATTGTTATATATTTTGATCGTACTTTTGATGAAATATATTGACTTTATCTTATTTTACACAAGTCCAAATTTTAAATTTTGGTAACATTTTGTGAGATATTAGTGAGATATCAGACACTAGTTTATCTGATAGTTTACTGATATTTGGCATGTATTTTCATCTATCAGCAGAATATTGGCTTCTGATAGACCTATCAGAAGCTGATATTCTGCTAATAGGTGAAGATATGCGCCAAATATCAGTAAACTATCAGATCAATTGGCATCTGATATCTCACTAATATCTCACAGAAATGTTACTGAAATTTAAAACTTGGACTTGTGTTATCCAATTAGAAGTAAGAGCCTCACAAAGTAAGCAGATTTTGTACAAAGAACTAAAGAATGTGTATAGATTTTTTCTATTAGTTTATAAAAATTACTTGCTAAACTATTTAGCATTGCTACCAAAATCTGAGATACTATATATAATTACTACTTAAAGTTTAGTTTAAGTTTGAGACATACAAAATTATAAATATCAAAAGAGATCTAATTTATTTATTTGAGTAATAATTATTTAAGATTTGACTACAATATTTTAAATTATTTAAATTTATACTTCACTAATATTATAGTAGAATCATTCTAATTATTGTAATTTGCTATAACTTGCTATAACTATAATAATTTAAAAGGGTGTGTTAACTTAGTGAAGTGGTTAAGTTGTCGCACCCCCTAAGCGGCAGGACAAAAGTTCGAATCCCACTGGTGATAAAATTCGAATTTTACAGAATGTGTTATAGCAGACTGTGTATAATCTGATTCAAGTCACTTTATCAATGGTTTTTTTGTAGAAATAATATTTCACAAACAACTATTCACTGACAATTATTTCATCGATAAGTTTATTTCACCTACAAGTTATTTCATCAACTGAAGCTCATTTCACTAACAAAATAATTCTGGTCATTGTCATTAAGGTCAGGTTAAAATTAGAGTTAAGGTTGGTAGGATTTATAAAAAATAGCTTGTATTTGAAATCAGCTTTGGTGAAATAAACTGTTGGTGAAATAACTTGTCGATGAAATAAACTTGTTAGTGAAATAATTGTTGGTAAATAGTTGTTGGTGAAATGTTATATCTACAAAAAAACTATCGGTGAAGTGATATATATCCGTATAATCTGATGGATCATTAGATTTGTAAACTTGGTTATACTAGGAGTTATTAGAAAGCTGTGGAACTGTAGTGTGGTATATGAGTTACATAAAACCTAAGTAAAACGGTTATATAAATCTAGATATTAGGGTACACAGAAGCCTGCTTAGCAAGTCCCAAGTAGAGAGGTAGCACAGATCTTTAATAATACTACGTAAAAGGCTATCTAAAAGATCCAGACACCAATTTTAGTAATTTGAACAAGAACCAGTATTTGGCAAGACACTATATTAACTAGGCTGCCAGACAAGTAACCAGAGAAAAAGGACCTAACCGTGAGAACCAGAAGCAGGTCACAGCTCCTTTGGGCTATTTGAATTGGGAGTTTAGATTACTGACGAAACTTAGATACTGGTGATAGTCTGTAAAGTATATGCTAGAGTTTGGGTGAACTCTGCAAAGCTAGAAGTAGGTAATAGTAGCAGCTTCAGCTCGCAAGTACTTGTCTTCAGACTTAGCGTAAGTTATTGAAGTCTAGGTTAGCCAGATTGTGGGTAAAGAAAGCTCTAGCTAATGATGCCTCAAAGATAAATATGTTCTGAAGATATAGGAAAAGCATCTAGGACTTCTTATGACAGATAATTGTGGCAGAAAGATACTGATGAACAAGCTGAGTTGCATTTATATAAATGTACAGAGTTTCATAAGCGAGCCTCCCACCTATAAACTTAAATAAAAACCTTAGTCCCATAGAGGCTAGTTATAAAATTTAAAAAAAATAATAATAATAAGTTAAAGCATTATAGCCATAACTTACTATATTTCTTACTATAGTTATAGCAATTATTAGGATAATTCTAATGCATCATAACTAAATTAATTACTAGATCATTAATTACCAATTCAGATTATTAATTCATCATTAATTCAAGATTATTAATTCAAAATTATTATATTCAATATTATCATTTTCGATATTATTATATTCGATATTATTACATTTGGTATTATTATATTTAGTATTATTATATTTGGTATTATTACCTTCAGTATTATTACATTCAGTATATTTTTTTTGCAATTGTGATTCTTCAGAATTATGATTATTTGAGATTTTTTTTCAAAATTTGGTTTTCAAATTTATAAATTGTCGAAATAGTGTTTTTTCGAGATTTTGAGCTTCGGAATATAGTACCATTGAGATTTAGATCTTCAGGATTTTAAACAATTCCTATCTCAACAACTCCTTGTAACTTTTCTATAAACATATATACTAATTCTCAATCTATTATATTCAAATACACCAAACTTAATTCACTTCCTATTAACCTTAACAAACTCCTTAAATTTAATATCTGACCTTTATGGCATATCTTTCTTAATATTATCTCTTCTTATAAACTAGAAGTTTCTTTTATTAAAGTCTAGCACACTTTGATAATATTTATAACAACCTAGCTGATTCATTAGCTAAATAATATAATTAGAGAGCTATATAGTTATACTTTAATTATAATTAAAAACCTACTTTTAATATTACAAATTTTAAACTTAATTAGCTCAAATCTTTA